GTCTAGAAGTCTCTCAAGTTACGCGAGAAGTCAAAAAGGGAAATCAAAGAATGACACCAAGTATAGGAAAGTTCTTATCAACCAACACACAGACTTTTAATTGCAAAAAGTAAAAATTTTCATGACAGAAAACTTTAATTTACATACATTCTTTACATGGTGGAAATCTTAACAAGCTGGCAGTACATTAAGTTACCATCAACACTGCACTGAACACGTCAACAGCTCATATTATTTGGAGCATGTGTGCTTGGGCCTGTCTCCCTCGGCTTACTGAGGCCATCCAGGCCCCTCACACCCTAACTTCCCTGAAGATAAACCGCAGCTCCCCCAGCTCCCGTCCCTGATGGTGGCAGGGAAGAGGCTGAGCAGAGGTGCCGGCTGACTCGGCCTCTCCAGTCTTCCCTGCCAGCCGGGGTGTCTGACCTGCCCATTCCACAGGAGGGAGGAGGGAGACTCAGTCAGCATTCGGAGGATAAAACTATGGAAAGAAGTTGGGAGGGAAATTTTCCTGTGAAGGGAGGAGAGCATCTGTCTGTGAGAATCTGTTCCTGAAAGGGTAGCAAGTGCTCTGAGGGGCTGAAGTTGGATGGTTGAGGTGCTGCAAAGTTGTCAGTAAAGAGGGCTTCCCCGGAGGAGCCCACCTATCCCATGGAGCTGTTGGGAGGAGAAATCAGGTAAATCACTCCTCAGTAAATAAGTACGGCCCAAAGCAGATGTCCTGACTCCATAATTTGTTTGAAAGTGGCTTCCCTTCTCTGCACAGGTGCTTGTGGTGGTGCTGACTGACTTACTGACTGAGGGTGGATGGACTGAGAGATGCACTAAGCACAGGAGAGGAATGGTCCCCAGGCCAGCCCTGCCATGTCTCAGTAGTTCCAGCCTCTGTGCGGTTACACAATATTTCTTCTCTCCACTCTTCTGAAAAAGTCTGGCCATTTCACGATCTCCAGAGAGAAGAAAATGACAGCTGTACTCACTCTAATGCTAAATTATGCAGGACAGGGAACCCAGACACAAAGGGAGCTGGACAAGACCATGGGCCAGAGGGATTCTCATCAAGGCCAGCACTTAAAGCCACACAGCGTCCAGGGCAGGCAGACTGAGGTGGGGCACGAGAGGGAGTGCACCCTCCATCTTCTCTGAGATGTTTTTGGGGGAGAGAAGCTGCTGGATATTGGCAGACGGAGGGTGGGGAGGCTGGGACACATCTGCTGATGGCGATTCCGCACATCCCCAGGCTCCAGGGCGGTCTCCACAAACACCTCTGCCTCCCCAGCCTCCGGGCCCTGACACGCCACGGCTCTGGACACATGTGCGATGGAAACCTGGAGAGAATCTCAACTGAGAACACTATTTTAAAACACATCTCTGGCACTGGCTTCCTTCAACACATTTTAGTGGGTGACGGGCTGCCATGAAAGTTAATGAGCATGGAACTTGTGAACTCAGGAGAGTTTCTCCTCCATCGTTAAAAGAATTGAAAAGCCTAAGAGGCTCTTCTGTTTAATGACTGATTCTCAAAAGGCAGGCAAGACCGCCTCGCTCCCTACAAACAGACATGCCACTCTCCCTCTTCTCCAGCTGGGCAAGATGAGATGTGAACATCTACTTTGGGGTTTGAATGTTCACTATGAAGCCACTGGTGAATGAGCAAACACTCATCCCTATGTTAAAATGATTGAGGCCATCACTGGCAGCTAAGGAACTATAGGTTTTGTTAAAAAAATAATTGTTCCTCCACAGAGGTCTATGCTGGCTTTTGGAAGAAGGGACTAGAAAACTGAGAACTAGAAAAACAAGTGATGTAAACTCCAAGGGGACCCACAACTGGAATTGGGTAGAGTCCCTCTTCTGGTCACACATCTGGAAATGTGGTGCCGAGAAAATGGCTCATAGCATTTACAAGGGAGGGAAAAAGTAAAAGGATTTTTATAAAAGTCATCTGGTTAAATGTTTGCCTTCATTTCTATCCAAAACGGTTTCGGAGAAATGAACCTTGACGAGTTCCTGGCATGCTCACCCAACCCCTAGGTTCTCCTGGCCCAGTAGGGACACACCGGGTCAATTAAACCCACCTACATCTTGGTGCTTGGGCACACTGTGCCACAGCAGAGCAATAATAGATGCCTGGGAGCCAGCTACTGAGCATCTAGCTGTTAACTGCTCTAGGCCCTTGTCCATTTACTTGTAAAATGATGATTTATAGCTACTCTACAGGACTGAGTAAGGATTAAAGGAGATCATGTATCTCGGGCACTCTTAGAATGAACTAGACCGGTACTATTATTCCTTCCTCTCAGAAAATAAGCCCAAATCTACCCATCTCATAGGCAGCTTTGTATTCCACCAAACAGGCAGGTTTTGTTTTCATAAACCACTACTATTTTACTCCCTTCTCTGGCATAACTGAGGCTGGGCAAAGGACAAACTTTGCCAACGTATAAGCCAGAACAGTGCACTGTCTTGTTCAATACTTGATTCCTGGAGACCTCAGGCCTTCTGGACATCAAATGCTTCCAACTGTTGCCAACACAGCCTTTCTCTACCAAGAGCTGACTTCTGACCCAGGAACCTACAAGCAAGGAAATCTAACCTGTGTGGGGGTCAGCGCTGTGCCACTCTCACTGGATGCTCACTAACCCCATGAGCAAGCACCTCTTCTTACAACCCTTGGTTTTGTTGTTATTGTGGTCACAGAGGTGGGGGAGGTCAGGGGCTCCCACCATGCCCCCCGACCCCGTTTCCTCATCATGATGGCCCTCTTTCCCACACGAGATCATGAAGAGGGTCTTCTGCTGCTTTCATGGAGCCGCTGAGAGCTAATGGGAAACCCCACCACACTCTCCTACAAAGCCCTGGACAGCCGGCAGGACTGGCTGGCAACCCCAAGTTGCTCACACAGGCCTGGCCACTGGCAGGTAAATTACTTCTAAGTATCTAGTAAGTAAGAGCAAAAACCCTCTGAGGGTCGTCCCTAACGTAAGTCTATATTTAATTTTGAACTGGATGAATTGTAAGTTGAGTAGCATATGCCCCAAAGTCTCCAGCTGACTTTCACTTCTTGCTGAACTGGAGACAGTCTAGGGGCTTCGGGGCCTTCCCAGGAGCTGCCTCAGAGCACCAATAAATGTAAGGGTTTCTTGGCTTTTAAAATTTTGAGCCAAAATGGGTATTTCAAGAATATTTAAGGTGTGAAGGGCAGGAGTAAAATGGGAAAGGAACACAGCGCAATTTATGAAAACAAAACAGAAATCTCGATCATTTAAACAGTTGCTTTGTTCCCAAGGAACACTCTCCTTTGTTAACCCAAAGGGCCTAATTTAAGAAAACTGAGAGGCTTTTAAAGAACTTGTTTACATGTATAATCCTGCCCCGTGTGCGGGGGGGATAAGGACACTCAAATGCTCTAAAAGTTTGTGCAAAGTTGGCGTCTGAATGACCCCCTGACTTAAAACCTCTTAAATCATAACTTCTTAGCAGCACGGCATTTATATGTACAAAAAGTTCTGTTTTTCTGTATTAATCCACACAAGGCACTGCTTCTTTGAAGGGAAAATTCCCTCAGGTACAGTTCATCCTCATTTCACTCCAACCCACGGAGGAGGCTCTGAGGTTTCCACCCTGAGTTCTGTGAACCCTGCTTGTCCTCTACAAGCCCACAAGGCAGCACCTAAGGAGCCCCCCCTACTTGTGAGATGTGGAGAGAAAGCGGGCCTGGGACCAGGTGCAGGGGCACCTCCTGATGAAGAGAACCCCAAAAGAAGTCCCGTGCCTGTCCCTCCCCACGGTCCGCCTCTGGGCCACAGCTCTGACACAGACACCTCCCGGGTCCGGTGGACTCCTGCAGTTTAGAATCAGGAGCTGCAGTGGGGTTTGTTTTTTCTGCATCCTGGTGATAAGCATGACCAGAGAGGCCATGTATCTAGTAGTGTCAATAAAGGAAAAGTAAAGGAAAAGAGGAAACAACAAGAGTGTCCTTATTGACACCTGATTCATACGTACATGAAAAAAAATGAGCATAGTGAATCTGCCGATCAAAAGAGCAGAGCTTGTTATGATTCAAACAAATAAAAACACCTCACCTTGTTTTCCAGTACAAAGAGGAACCATTTTAAGACAAAGGGTCACAGAATCGCACACCCAGCTGGCCACCACTTTGGGTCTGGAGTTCCTTCCCTGACCACATTACAACATCAGTGCGAAACATCTGTGAAACATCTTCCCTGCAGAGTCAGACCCTAAAGATCAAACCCAGGGAGGCACCCTGTCCCGGGCCAGCACGCTAACTCATCTCCCCCGAAGACACTTGGTAAGAGCAACACAGTTGACAGGAGCAGTGCTGCCTCAGCAGGAAAGAGCTCCCGCCCAGCCAAGGGGAGGGGGTCCAGGAGCCCAACATCTGAAAAATCATCTAGAGAGGCAAGGGAGAAGGGAGTTGGAGGGAGGAACATAAGCAGCTGATAAAACGGAGAAGAAGTTACCTTAGGAATTACCACTTTAATTACAACCAGGCAGCAGCCTGGCCTCGCCGAGACTCAGCAGATACCGGGGAAGAAGTGCACTTTCTAGTGCCATGTGAGGATATTTCATCTTTTTCCATTGGTTCTAGAGTCCATTCTGCTTGGGAAACTGCAACGACTTCTTTAATCAGTCATGGTTGTCCAGAAAAGAACAGGGTGGTGTGGCCAGGACAAGCAGGTCCACCAGGTAAAGGATGGCTCTGAAGTCAGGACCTGCCGCGGCTGCCCACTCTGTGGCTAGGAGGGGGTTCATGGCAGGGGGGGTTCATGCCAGTCAGGGCAGGCACCAACCCTGCTTCCTGCCGTAGGTGAGACCTGTGCTCCCTCTCACAGACAGGGACAGGCAAAGTCCTGGCTGAGCAGCTGGCTGGAGGAGTCAGGAGGGCTGAGTGCTGGCCCTGGCCCTGGCTTCCATCGCATGGGCTTGCACACACATGCACAGGGCAGGTAACTAATTAACCAACCCCTGGAAAGTGGTTTCATTGTTTTGGTTTTTATTTCCCCCTTTCAACCTGGTCTTCAGCACTCAGAGATGTTCCTCTATATAGTTCTGTTCCCTACAGCTCTGAGACGGTGGTTCCATCACAGATGACCAAAGGCTGGGCTCCTCTGGCTACAACGTAGACCTTCCAGTGGGTGGCACCGGCATAGCCTTGAAGGGAAACAGCAACAGGAGAGCACGTGAATGGCAGAGGCAGGGCACACCGTGGGCAAGAGCAAGAGTCTGTCAGAGCCGCCCTCAGGGCACACCTGCAGAGCCAGGGGCAATTCTTGCTCTGCCTGGCAGTAGTGTTGCTAGTGCTTATTAGGTGACCTGACACCCAGGAGGAAGGACTCTGAGCCAAAATGCTTCATCACCACAGGCATCTGGGTGCCACAACTGTGAGTTGTGTAACTGTGAGTCACAACTCAGCAGGTTTACAGGGCGGGATGCTCTAGATGAGGCTGCTGCCGGGCACAAATCCTCAGATGGATCTCATCTTCAGCAAGAAGATAGAGGGAAGCAGGACCCCCCTCCTTCTCCTGAGATTATCAGTAATCTACCTCAAGACAGAACATCCAGATTAGCCCAAACCAGCATTTCCTCAGTTCAGTTCTGCAACCAGCAGCATCCTGTGGGATAGTCGAAGGAAATGGGTCCATGGTCAGGTATGTCTGAGAAACTCTAGATTCTTCCAAGTCTCGACAAGAGTCCCTCTTACTCTGGAGTGCACCACAAGCCAACAGGACAGGCACTTCCCAAAGACAACTGACCCAAGAGCCCTATTTGCCAAGGGCCTTTCCAAGGGGCTCCTATTCCCACCCCAAGGGGCATGAGTGAGCTGAAGACTCTTTTGAAACACTTACCTATATTTGAGTGGATTAGGAAGGTCAACTTAGAAGTTTTAACACTTCAATAATCTCCTGATGGAAAAATTTCTAGAGTATGACACACTCTTTCAAGTGAGAGCCCTGAGTAGCATTTCACCTCCGCCTGGGAAGTCCCCAGGGTCTGTATGAGCAGGGCTGCACAACCACAGCGGAGGGGAGGGCTCGCCGGTCAGCCTCAGGGGCTTGGGCCCCACAGTCAATCTTGAAAAAAACGCCGCCATCACAGGTTTCTTATGATCTGTAGCCCTGCCCTTTCCCCTTTTCAACTGCACAGCACAATGAATGTTTTGTCAGCAAACACAGAACTGGCTTACGACAGAGCCATTCTTAGGGTCCCTGAGGTGCTGGAGTTGACATCTGTCCTACAACTGCTGAGATATTCTCCACTGTCTGGGCCTGCTTTCCTGTCCTCATTTCTAACCATGGCAATTGCAGCTACTGCTTTTATTCCTGTCACTGTTCAGGGGACGAGGTTCCCCACCTTTGCCCCACAATCCCCACCCCATTCTTCTCCCTCTTGTCCTATTTAGCCTCCTATCCTGCCTCCATATTCTGGTCATGTGGCTGGCCTTTCAAGGACACTGGCAGGCACCGGGCTCCTGTGGTCAGTAAACTGGCCAGTCACAGCTCAGCAGGGAGCTCTGGATTTTCGTCCGTTGTGGACTATCGCAACAGCCTTGGCTGCTCAAACCTTCTTTGATCACTGCCATTCACCCATTTCTCATTTTCCCTAATTCTATAATTGGCATTCTAGAGGCTCATGGCAGCTAAACACCTAAAATTTGGGTAACTAAGGTGTTTCTGTAGTTGTCTGAACTGTCAGGCTTTGGTAGAACATTAAGACATAAAACTTTTCAAGCAGATCTACACTCTACAAACCCAAAATGCTGTACAGACTTGTGCAATAGCCATCCTTCACGGAAGGGTCACTCCACCACAGACAAATATTCAGAACAATTTCCATACAAGAATCCTCTCTTCTGCACTAATTCCCAAGGGCCAGGCCAGCTGTGCTCCATTATCAGTTAATGCTTAATTTGTGCATTATTTTTATGCCTTTTTTTTCTAAACTGAAGTTATGTAACTTGAATTAAAGCTTGCAGACTGCAACCTACCTCCAAATAAGTGAGCAGTTTCTAGGGGTTGGGGTCTTCTACATGGGTAAAATGAAAAGAAATCAACTAGAAAACCAGTCTGGCCTCATCAGGGACTCCAGGCCTCCCCCAGGTTTTGTGAGGCAGGAAGAACAGGAGGGAAATGGTGACGCTTGCTGACTTATTTACTTCTTCTGCCAAGAAACTCTAATGTCAAACTGATTGCTAATGACAACAGTTGAATCAAAATTCTTTCTTTGGAATGGGTTTTTAAAATCTAAGACACAGACCAAGTCACAGTTGGGAAATCACGGAGCCAAGGGTGAGGCATGAATGTCTTCGACATTGTGACTTAGCTGTGGGACCCACAAGGAAGATAGTATTTCCTTGAGTGGCCACTGTCCTTACATACTGCTTGTACTGTTCCATTAGCCAAATGGGCACAGAACAGGTTTTCTTGAATCGGGAATTATACCTTCCCCATCTTCAATCTGTTAAGGAAGACACTTAAGACTTGATGCCGTGGCTAACTGATAACCTCTGGGAAGACCACTCTCTTCTCTGGAACTCAGATTCCTCATCTGCACTGTCCTAACTATTTCCCAGAATCCTTCTACCCGGAAGTTTCTAAGATCAATGGACACATGCATTCCAAATGTATGTACAAGATATTTTCCTCAGCCACATTTTCTCATTAGTTGTTCCGCCTAAGCAGGAATATTAACCCTGCTAATGAAAGAATATTATTTTGACTCTACTAAATTGAACTTTTGTGAAGGCAGTATTTAGTTTCTAGAATACTTTTTGAGTTAAAAACTGGAGATCCCGTGGCTGACCTTGCCCTCCAGGGACCTCACTTACCAATATCCCCTGGTTCTAGTGGCATCGCCATGGACTGGCAGTGTCTTCGACACTGGAAGGAAGGGATGAGCTGCAACATGGCCTCGCCACTGCCGACAGCGAACAGATCATGCATCCTATGCATCTGGAGGGAAAAACAGTGGTCAAGAAAAGGAAAGAAAAGAAAACAAAATAAAATCCAGGCTGGGGGGAGATTAGTATACAAAAATCCTTATCCATATGGTTCTGAGTTTCCTGGCAGCCTTAGCAAGGAAGGAAAAAAAGACCCAATAATACAATTCACAATTCTGTCCAAAAGGCAAAATTAGCTTCTCCCAAACATGGCATCTCCTGGTACTGAGACCAGAGTAAAAACACTTCTGTGGGTTCCCCTAGCGGAACATGGGTGGATTCAGCGGATGGACAACATCTCCAACAACAATCCTACTGCAGATATGGCATGAGTTTCACAATTTTAATTCACAACTAGTTCCAGAAGGACCTTCAAAGTAGGCCAGAGCCAAGATACTTAACTTCCATATAACTAGAGAGTCCAGCAGAGGCCAAGTATGGTGGTCTACACAGGCCATCCCTCTGAGGGGCTTGTCTGGTCCAGACTTTCCAGAGAAATAGATGGTCTACGTATCTCTTGGGAAATGTTCCAGGAATATTATTTCCCACTGCCAGGATTTTGTAAGAATTGAACAGCAGCAAGGTCAAGTTTACACTTTCTGGCAAGGTAAGGAGATATGTCAGACCACTAATTAAAAACCAGCGACATTAAGATTGGCCTCTGATTTTGAAGACTGAGACAACCAGGATATGTGCCTGCGCAGGTACCTACTGCACTGCTGCCACCAACAGGCCTCAGGTGCAGCCTGCTATGTGCCAGACAGAGCTGTGCACCCTGTGGCTGGGGTGGGGCAGAGAGTAGGGATAAAGGGAGAGGTGGTCTTGCTTGGGCTTCTCTTCTTGCCTAGAAGGTGAGAGAAAGCCCCAAGCGCCTTCCCTCCCCTCTGTTCCCACCAGTCTCTGTACTTCAGGGAACCCCTTCAATGATTACAGAAAGCAGAGGTCAGAAGTCTGACTTCCTGTGCTATGTCCTGGTTTTCTCTTCGCTACTTGGAGCCTCCCGAGCTGTGAGTTTTGACCCCATCTCCCCCCATCCCCAACCCTGATCTTTCTGTTGCTCCCACAGGCTCTGGCCATGACTATTTCCACACAACACTGAAGCTATTTCAAATGCTGCCATAGTGACAGGAGGAAGAGTGGTGTCTTAAGCTGGCTTATGACTCTGACTGGTACTAACACCCTCAGAAGCCTGACATCTGCAGCCTTGAAACAAAATCCCAGAAGCCCCTAACAAATGGATGTACTTCTCATACAGGCCTAAGCGGGGGTAGGACTATGTTCTTCCATAACCAGGATGACAGAAACAGACAACAGGATGGAGTGGGCCAGCCCCAGGCGACACTATGGAATGGGTGAAGTGGGCCTCAGAGGCCCTCGCCCCCTCCTCCCCGTGCTTCTTAACAATCAGACCCCCACTTCTTATCTTCTAACTTGAGGCTGCCTCTTAGATCACGGGCCCACAGACATGGGACTTTACCAGGACCCAGGGATGTGAACAACAGGGTGGAGTAACAAGGCTGTGGAGAAAGGAGAGCCTGGGTCAGGGTGGGGAACAGATGCTCTAAGAAACCAGACTCTCAGGATTTTTGCCTATTCGGGCCACTCCCCTTCCCAAAACATCCTCAAGAACCACAACAAGATGACCTTGATAGGCGTCTGAGTGACTTTTATTTACTCTTTTGGCTGGCTCCTTAGAGTTCCTGTTGAACAGGCCGGTGAAACTCAGTATTCAAGTGGGAAAACCAAGATAAAGTAAAGACCCTCATCCAGAATCACATCATAATTCTGAAGATGAAGTCATGTGAGAGTCTTGAGAGCTTGTCGGGAGAACAGGATAAACTGCTTTAAAAGCTGAGGCAGGAGCCCAGAACCTCCACCCTGCTGCTGCTGGCAGACAGCGGTCCCTACTTCTAGACAAAATGATTGTTTTTATAGGCTTTTAAATTCCTTTCACATAATTCAGCAAATTTCCAGCCAAACAATAGTATCAGGAGGTTGAAGACACAACCCAGAGTTGGTTGGAGTAACAGCTCAGGGAATTTAATTTTTTTTTTAAACAAAGGAAAACTCATCCTTTTAATGCTTCCAAACAAACCCAGGCACAAAGGTCTTCCTCAGGAATGAGACTCACCGAAAGGGCAGTTCATAGAAAAGCAAAAGAATAGCTTTGCCAGGTGCACTGGCTCCAGACAGGCAGAGTTGGGCTCTGCACACTTGGCCACAGACCAAAGTGAGAAATGTTGTCACTCAATCTGGGCTGCCTGCCTCGGCCACACATCTATTAATGCTTTGCCCCAAACCCTCTCTGGGTTCCCAAGCTTCTAACTTTTTCAGTTCTCTATTCCTGAGAACAGAGGTAGGGTCAGCCCCTTAACCTGCTGTGTCGTTGGGCAAATACTCAGTCTCTCTGGGGCTCAGTCTCTTTATCTACAAAATGAGTAAGTTGGACTATTGATTTACATACTATTCAGTTACAGTTTATCTGCTTTCTACTCGAGATAGGGAAGTCAGAGTAGCTGCACATTCACATCTCTTCAAATAATGTAAAAAGTAGCTTGCTCCCAGGTGTTAAGGGCAAGACACAGATTTGCAAGGTAACCAGACTTTTCATTAGCATGTCTGCCTAAAAGGGGTGCCCGCTGTCTGGCTACCAACAGGAGTGAACTCTAAGTTGACATGCAGGGTAGGCCTTGATTATGACATCAGCCCAAGTGACAATGAGGAAAATTCTAGATCCAAACCTTCTCAGGATTTCCTACCTTACTCCCCACAATAGGTTCTGGTTGAAGAAGGAAGCACTTTTTCAAGGAAGCATCTTTTGGAAATGGCAGGTAGGTGAAAAGAGGAAAAAGTTCACGTAAAATTTGTGATCTGTTTAGAGGTCTTCTCCTGTAAAAGTTTGAAAGAGAAAAAAGTAATTAAACTAGGCAGCCTATCTCCCTAACAGAGAGCTAAGCAACGGTGGGAAAACTGTGGCCGGTGGGTAAAGAGGCAAAATATCAGGACAATATCTTAATATTTGGTCCATGAATAACAGTCACACCAAGTTCATTAATTGTAAATTGTACACAAACATGCGCACATGCCTGTGTATTTACATGCGTGTGCACGCACACGCACGTGCACACACACACACACACACCCTACAGCCATGATTTGCACATGTGGGTGGGTATTTATAAAGTCCAGCTAAAACAACATAGAGAGGAAGGAAAGGAACAGTTCATTTATTCATTTTGTAAAAGAGACTGAAGTAATAGCAGGCCAAGCAGGAGAAAGGCAGAAAGGCAGAGGAAGGCAAAAATCATGTATCATCTCCTGAGGTGGAGAGGCATATGACTGATCAGCTTTGTTTACCCAAGTATACCAGCATGCAAATAAACAGCAAATTTTAAAAAGGCAGAAATATCGAGAAATCAACCAACAAAATACATGAGAAAGTTATTTTAATTCTCTTTTGGAATGGTTCTTGATGGAAGTTGACTTTCCTTTTTTTTCTACATCAGCCTATAACCAAAGAAATGGACCAGGTCTTCCATAGGACACCTAAGAAACAGGAGGACAGACCTGGGTTTCAATCCTGACTGGGTGACCTTCGGTACTTAACCTTGCTAATTCCCACTTTTTTTTTAAGATTTATTTTTATTTATTTATGCATACAAGAAGTGGAGTATAGGCCTGAGGTGCGGGGGGTGAGAGGGTTCACCAGAGACAGGGTGGGGAACAGCAGATGAGACTGGAGAGCTCCCTGGCCATGGATCGAACTCATGCCACAGTGGCTGGCAATAGCTTAATAGTGCTGAGACTTGAACCCCTGCACCACCAGGCAGACCTAATTCTCACTTTTTTTGATCTGAAAAATGACCATGAGAATTTCTAATCCCCAGAACTATTATGAGCATTGCCAACAAGCAACAGACACTAAATCCCCGGCCACAAGCAAATGCCCACAGATGCAATTTCCCTTCTATCCATCACATGTGCTCTCAGCCCACCATGCTCAAGCCCTGGTGTGCAGGAACATAAATGCTAAACACACACAGAAAAACAAATTACGTTTCTATTAGGCAATCTTGGTGTCCACCCATGGCGCCTCTCCAACACACCTCTTCCACTCATCCCCTTTATTTCTTACCACTGGTTTTTCAACGGGGAGCAGATTTGAAGGGTGGGCCATGAAGTGTTCATGGAGAGCTGGGCATGCCAGAGTCTCACGGGCAGTGGTCACTGACTTTCGGCTGCCCCCTTTCTACACGCAGGCTAAGTGCCCCCTTCCACACTCACCATGGATAAGGAAAGGGGAACCACCGTTCAGGAAAGCAGCGCCACCATTTGGTGAAAAGCCCTTCGGTGAAGCCTTCTGTCACCTCAGGGTACTGGCATAAAAAGTGCTGAAGCGCCTCGGACAGCAGGGGCTGTCCCGTCTTGGCAAGACAGAAAACAGAGCAAAACGAAATAACACAAAGTTACTGATCAGAAATGTCACAGAACTGGCAGAAACTTCTTTTCACTAAAGGGATAATGCACCCCTCAGTGGGAGGATCAGGCCTCCTGCTCACCTTGATCACCAGAGGATGGAGTCTCTCAAATTTCTTCGGGGTATCTTCCAGGAGCATTACCTTCAGGGGTAACTTCTGGGTACAGCCAGTGCAGTTGGCAGAGATGGGGTCTGATTCATTCTGCTCACAGTTGTTTGTCCACCAGGGGTCGAAGTCTGAGAGAGGAAGGGACATGAAGAGAGTGGGTTCAGGAAGAGCACAGCGATAAATCCAGTGGCCCCAGCAATGGCAGTAGGAAGGAAATGTGACAATTTCTTAAGGCGAACAATGATTAGCTTCGAACTAAAAGGTGCGTGGGAAATAAGTAGTTGCTCAGGAGGGAGCAGAGGGCCCTGGATTGGGGGCTGGGAGGGAGGGTTAGGGAAGAGGAAGGGAAGGACATATCCTTTTTTGTATACTCTTTGATGTGGAAAATATTTTTCAACATATACATGTATCGCCTATATCAAATCAACTAAACAAAACAGTTAAAGATAATCAGCAACATGGAAATGTAGCTTCTCTACTATTTTCTAAGCTGTGCCCTGATGTCTACAGTACATGGGGGAGGGGCAGGCAGGCAAGGTGGTCCCACCATCAGTGATGAGTCCCCTCTCCCGCTTCATGTACCTGCTTCAACACTCTTGGGGTGCCTAGACCACTGGTTCACAAGTACAAGGGGAGGCCAGGATAACTCTGGGAAGGAAGTGTGAGGAAAGGTCAGAGAGACAGATGGAGAGGAAAGGCAGGATTTTTAAGGGGCCCATCTCTGGAATAAATGAATTGCATCTGCCCACAGACAGCACTCTGCGCAGGCTCAGGCTACTCATCATGTTTCTACCCTCAAGCACAGTGTGTGGGCCAGTGGAAGCAGGTCCCACCTGAATCCTGATGTGAGTACAAGCTGAGCTGGCTCCTGACACCTTTCCCTGGTGGGTCCTTCTCTGAGGAATTGGCTCTTTCTACCCAGTCCTTCTGTTTCTCTCTGTTCCTTCGCTCGGACACTGTTCTGTTTATGATGTTATTGCAATATTTCTTGTTTGTTTTCTGTCCCATTCTGGGTTTCATCTGCGTTTTCTGAGATACATGTCATGAACTCTACTTTGAATCCAAAGTGTTTCATAAGATGGTATCTGATTAAAACCCAATGCAAACTGAATCAGGAGAGTCTAGAATAAACAAAAGACAACACAAAACCAAGTGTGGCTAAAATGAAGTCAATTCTTTAAACCAATAAACACACTTGGGAAACTGACCCTTAACCACACAGAATTTTCTGTAGCCAGCAACAAGAACGTCTTCCTTGCTCTCTTCAGGCAGCAGTAGTAGGGCAGAGGAAATCCTCATTAGGGAAGGACTAAGTTTATCCTCAGCATCTCCTGAGTACCTCCAAGCACCTCCACCTCTGCAGACAGAACCTGATTCCTTTTCATTTATTTTAGCAATCATTTTATTTGATGTAACTCTGCACTATAACATTATATCAGTTTCAGGAGTGCACCATTAAAAATCAACATGTGTTGATTTTCACATTAAGTTTACCTCTTAAAGTTCAATTCTGACCTTCACCAAGAACATGTGTTTCCTTGAGGCAGCTGCCATCTGCCTGTCTCTCCCACCTCAGCTTATAGGCATGCAGGTTACCAGTCAGAGGATGACGGCTGTGCCCCTGAACTGAAAGTGGGGTCTCTCCCCTGACCCTGCTCACCAGGAGCCAAAAACCTTTCAGTGTTTCAGCGGCAGATAGAAGCTAAGTTGTATTTTTTTCTCTTCCGGATTATTTTCAAATATTCCTTATTAGAGGTTAAATAAGATGAACTCTTGCCAAAATACAAGAACGTTAGATAATAGATATACAATGAGGCATAAATAATCAAAAGAACATGTTACGATTATATAGCATTTCAGTTTCCAAAGCCCTTGGGAGGGAGAGAGGGAAGGGGAAAGGAAACTAATATGTTAAGGGTTAGGTCCATGTTAGTTTTCTGCCCTGTGTGTGCTAAGGAGGCATCACTATTCATAATACAATGAAGTGACATATAATGAGAGTCCAAACTGGGGCACTGGGTTTGGGAAGAAAAGGGTGATTCCAGAAGCAGTGATGACACAACCTACAGATCTAAGATACTGAGGTATCTGTGCAGCTGTGACAGCATGCCTCAGTGGAGAGGGTATTGGCAATTTGCAAATATTTTTCTGTAATAATGTGTTATATTCCATTTGAAGCAGTTAATTATGACAATTTTTCCAGATCAGGGTGAAGTCAAAAGGAGGCCCCCTTCCAGTTTATACAAGGCTTCTTCATGGGAGAGTAGAAGGCAACTCTGAACCTAAAAGTAAGGAGATGTCATTGTAACCATAACATAGTGACTTTAATTTCATTCTGAGCTTTAGATACTCGGGGTTTCCAGGTGGAGACAGATAGCTTGACAAGGAGATGGGGGAAGAAAATCCAGGAAGAAAAATCAAAGTAGAAAAAGAAAGCAAGAAAAGAGTACAAAAAGGGAATTTAATAAGGTGGCAGAATATAAGGTATAGATATCTAGACACATAAAAAATCAAGTGTTATTACTTTACTGGCCATAATCATTTCAAAACTGAAATGGAAAACACCTCATCATAATAACTAGCAATAAATTTAACAAAAAGGTAAAGCCAAAGAGAAAAATAATGAAAGTTAAAAACTATAAAATTTTACTGAAGGACAGAATAAAGGAGAGAATGAATAAAATATATCTTAGGGGCCTCCCTGGTGGTGCAAGGGGTTGGGACACAGCACTATGAGGCTGTCTGCAGCCACTGCAGCACGAGTTCCATCCCCGGCCAGGGAGCTACCCACATGGTGCAGCAGACCTCTCCTGACTTGCCCGCTGCTCCCCTCAGCAGTGTATTTCAGTCAATCCGCCTATTTTGTTCCCCACTCTGTCTCTGGTGAATCCTCTCACCCCCACACACATCTGGCCTGTAGCCCAGTTCTTGTATGCATAAATACATAAATCTTCTAAAAAATAAATCTTAGCATGATAAGGAATTGGAAGTCTAAATATCACACATGACAAATATATCCTCCCCACTCCGTAAAAAATATATAACTTTAATATAAAATGAGGTGGAATTTCATCAGAGCTTCTTAGTTATGAAGGGGGTGGGCTATGATAAATGCATTTGGAAATTCTTTTAGCAGAGCCAAGTTGTGAAAATAGCAACAGGCAATAATCCACCTGCCCAAATTAAATCTGGAAATAGGGAAATGCCAGAAAGCATTCTGAGTAACACAAATAAATCACATAGCATGGTCATTACTGAGACTCTATAGAGGCCCAACACAGTTCAAGACTAATTTAATAGCTGGCCACTGGGCAGATGGTGGACCTGAGGACCCTCACCCCTGACCACTCACGCCTCACTGGAGAACTCAAGCCTCTCTCTATGCCAGGCCAGAGGAGGCAGGACTAGAGGGAAAGGGCATGACTTTGCTTTCTCTGTATAGGCAATAAATTAAAAAAAAGAAAAAAGAAAAACAGCTTTAGTGACATATAATTCACATATCATAAAATTCACTCATTTAAAGTATACAATTCAGTGACTTTTCAGTATAGTCACAGAGTTGTATAATTAATCTAATTTTAAACCACTTTTATCATCCTAAAAAGAAACCCTGTATCCCATTAGCAGTCACTTCCATTCCAACGCCTTTCCTGCCAATCCTAAGCAATCATTAATCTACTTTTGGTCTCTATGAATTTGTCTACTCTGGCATTTCATATAAATGGAATCATACCATATAAGGCCTTTTGTCTGCCTTTTCTAATTTAGCATAATGTTTTCAAGGTTCATCCACATTATAGCATACGTCAGCCCTTTGACAACTCTATGTTTAATATTTTGAGGAGCTGCCCAACTTTTTCAAAGCAGGGGTAACTATTTTACATTCCCATAAGCAACGGATGAGGGTTCCAATTTTTCTACATCCTTGCTAACACTTGTTATTGTCTCACTTTTTGATTATAGCCACACTCAAGAATATGAAGTAGCATCTTGTGGTTTTAATTTGCATTTCCCTGATGGCTAATGAACTGAGCATCTTTTCATGTGCATACTGATCCCCCATATACCTTTTTTTGAGAAATGTTTATTGAAATTTTTTGCCCACTTTTAATCAGGCCGTCTTTCTATGGTTGTATAGGTCGCAGACAATAAATTATTGAAAAGAAAAGATGAGGGACTTGCTTTACCAGAAACAAACATAGTATCCAAAAAGCTACTATAATTAAAATAGCATAGGCAATCTTCATTATTCACAGATTCTTATCCTGAAAATTTACTTGTCACCCCTAAATCAATACATGGGGCTTTTATGGTCATCTAGACATGCACAGGATGGCAAGTCCCAGTTGAGGAGGGCTAAGGCAAAGCCCTGCCCTTTTGTTTCATCTTTATTACTGTAAACAAGTGTCCTTTCCACCATCTATTTAGTGTCACTTTTTTTTTTTTTTTTGCATTTTTGTTGGTGCTTTTACTGTTTAAAATGGTCCCAATGTATTTGTGGGGATAGAGGGGATATGGGAACTCTCTGTACTTTCTGCTCAATTTTGTAGCCAACCTAAGCCAAGTTTTTAAAAAGCTTTTTAGTTGAAAAAAAAAAAAAAACCTGCCTAGTACCATGCTACCTTATGTTCCTAAGTGGAAGAGCTGTGAAGTGCCTTACAGACAAAAATGTGTTAGATAATACTGTTCAGGAATGAATTCTAGTGATATTGACTGTGAATTCAATGTTAATAAATCTATAATACATTAAATAAGATGCCTTTAAACAGAAAAATATGTAAAACTAAATGAAAATATGGCCAGAGTTCTGAGGTAACTAATCCTACTTCCCCACTAGGGGCAGTGATTCAATATTCACTAACTCAGTATTTGCAAGGACTTTGGAGACCATATAAACCCAGCAAATGGGACTCAACGTAAGTTCTGATATAGGAACAGATAAAAAACCTTAATAAAACAGAAAAATGTGGAACATTCAGTATATCTATATCATATACATAAAAAATAATTTGTGATAAAAGTCAATTTAAATTCAGTGAATAAAAGACAGATTCAGTAATGATATTGGAATAAGTGGCCATCATTTTGGAAGAAAATAAAGTCTGATCACTACCTTTTAATACACACTGAAGTAAATTCTATATCAATTAAAGATATAAGTGGATAAAACAAAAATTTAAAAATAAAGGAAAATATGAAATAATTTTTGTAATTTTGGGAGGAAGGCAGTTCTAAGTAAAAAGATGGCAAAAAGGGCCTCCTTGGTGGTACAGGGCTTAAAGTCTCAGTGCTATCAAGCTATCTCCAGCCAGGGAGCAAGCCACACGGCACAGCAGACAATCTCCTGTCTTGCCTGCTGCTCCCCTCAGCAGTGTATTTCAGTAGATCCACCTATTCTGCCCCCAACTCTGTCTCTGATGAGTCCTCTTGCCCCCTCACACCTCTGGCCTAGACCCTAGTTCTTGTATGCATAAATAAATTTTAAAAAAATGGCAAAAAGAAAAGTGGGCCAATTCAACCCACAGGTGCACATAAGGCAAAGAATATCTCAAATACATAAGGAACGCCAATATAAATGATTTATAAAACATATGAAGACATCAAACTCCACTAATAATGAAAGAAACACAACTTAAAATGAGATACTACTCTTCAGTTCTCTAACTGGCAGTTCTCAAACTGGAAATGAAATACCAGTATTAATCAACATACATTATAAATAAAGTACACCTTGGTATAGGTTTATGAAGACAATTTAGTAGTATTTATTAAAATTTCAAATGTTTATGTCCTTTGACCCAGCCTTTCTACTTGTAAGTAGCTATCTTACAGAAATAATAGTGTATATACACAAACGTATGTATATATGAATATCCCAGAGACATTTTTTATAATGGAAAAAACAAACCCAGAAACTGTTAAATTATGGAATATTCAAAGAATGGAATAATATAAAATCCTGAAATATGTGTATACACATTGAATAGTGTCCCCCCCGCTCAACATTCATGTCCTTATGGAACCTCAGAAAATTGGAAATAGGGTCTTGGTAGATTTAATTGGCTAATAAGAGATGGTCATACTATAGTGGGCCTAAATCCAATCTAAATGGTATTGTGTTAAAAAGAGGAGACTGGGCCTCCCTGGTGGTGCAGGCAGTTGAGCACTGCACTGTGAAGCTGTCTGCAGCCTCTGCAGCATAGGTTTGATCCCGGCCAGCTGGCGAGGGTCCCACAGGGCAAAGCAGACCTCTCCTGTTTTGCCCGCGGCTCCCCTCAGCAGTGTATTTCTTCAGTCTGCCTGTTCTGTTCCCCGCTCTGTCTCCAGTGAATCCTCTCACCCTCCTGCACATCTAGCCTATACCCCGGTTCTTGTATAAAAATAAATCAAGAGGAGGAGACCCAAAGACACAGAAGGGAGACAGTCACATAAAGACAGAGGTAGAGACTGGAGTTAAGGGGCTAAGGAATGCCAATGATCGCTGGTGACCACCAGAAGCTAGCAGAGGCAAAGAAGGATTCTTTCCTAGAAACTCCTAGAGGATGATGGCCCTAACAACATCTTGATTTGGGACTTCTAGCCTCCAGAACTGTGATAGAATGAATTTCTGTTATTTTAAGTCACTCAGCCTGTGATACTTTGTTACTGAAACCTTAGACACTGATTACAGGGGTCTCCCTGGTGGCATAAGGGTTAAGTTGCTATGGCCTGAGTTTGATCCCAGGCCAGGGAAATGACCCACATATGGTGCAGCAGACTTCTCCTGTCTAGCCCACTGAGCCCCTTAGCAGTGCATTTCAGTAGATCTGCCTGTTCTGCCCCCCACTCTGTTCTGATGAACCCTTTCACCCCTCACACCTCTGGCCTACACCCCAGTTCTTCGATGCATCAATACATAAATCTTGAAAAAAAAAAAAAAAACCTGATACGGAATCTAGAAAACTTAAACAAGGGACCAGGAAAAAGAATAACTATAAGAAAGAAAATATCAAAATCAACAAACAACTATGAACCAGAGACATTCTATGGGGGGTGGGGGGCGGGGAAAGGAGGAATTGGAGTCAAAATAAGGGGGTTGTAATTGTATGGGGAATATAAAAATAAAATTTAAATTAAAAAAGAAGAAAATTTAAAAAAAAAAAAAACCTGATACAACGTGTCTAGCCCAAAGTAAACTGTACATGAGTCCTGTGTATGGGCACTTGTGTGTGTGTACACACATATGTATTCATATATATATATATATATATATAAAGTATTATCTATATAGCCTGGCAAAATTCAGAAGGACTAATTCTTGCCTGGGTGAAGGAGTTAGAGTGGTAGAGGCCAGAAAATTTACTTTATTGAAAGTGTATATATATATATATATATTTTTTTTTAAAAGATTTATTTATGTATACAAGAACTGGGATACAGGCCAGGTGTGTAGGGTGAGAGGATTCACCAGAGACAGAGTGGGGAGCAGAACAGGCAGACTGACTGAAATATACTCCCGAAGGTATATTTTTAAAAATAATCTTGGGCCTCCCTGGTGGTGCAAGGGGTTAAGTCTCAGCACTATGAAGCTATCCGCAGCCACTGCAGCACGAACTTGATCCCCAGCCAGGGATGTGACCCACTTAGTGCAGCAGACCTCTCCTGTCTCACCTGCTGCTCCCCTCAGCAGTGTATTTCAGTAGATCTGCCTGTTCTACTCCCCACTCTGTCCGCCTGTTCTGCTCCCCACTCTGTCTCTGGCGAATCCTCTCACCCTCCACACCTCTGGCCTACACCTCAGCTCTTGTATGCATAAATAAATAAATCTTTAAAAAAATAAAAATAATCTTACATCTCTATTATCTTTGTAGCTAACTGTTTAATATATTTTCCAAATAAAAATGTTTTTGGAAACCATGAAAACTTAAGCCAAAAACAACACTGGAACGGAGAGTTTGGTTATTTCAAAAAGCAGGCCCCTGGGAAGGCCCCTGCCAGGAGCGCAGGGAGGCGGGCAGCTAAGGAAGAGCAAAAGAGGAAGGATCAGAGCATGGGGTGTCTGCACCATCCATCTGAATTAGGGAAGCCCAAACTTCAAGAAGAGTTACTTTTCACTTCTCTGTAGACCTGAGATTGCCACGACAAAGAATGTGCTTATATTTGGCGGTGGGAAGGAACTGAGGGGTGCCCAGGCAACGTAGTGTCTGGGGGTGGTGGGGGAGGCAAGGCTGGCTCTTCCTCACCTTCCCACAGAATACCCAACAGAGGGAAAAGTGGCCAGACTCCAGCTTGGTCTCCACTGATCTGGAAAGGTCTTATCTGATGTGTTCTCTCAGCAACTGGCTGAAGCCATCGCATCCCAGGTGAGCAAAATTCCATCGTGTAAAATAGCTAAGAGCATATAGCCAACCCCAGTCATGGCTTTTCTTCAACTACTTAACATGCTGTATTTCAGTCCTTTCCAGACCTCTGTTTCTGGCTACTCTTCCTACAGCACCAGACAGAAAGGCCAGTGGAAGTAAAATAATTCTTTCAATTTCCAAGGTTTCTTTACACCAGGTATCCTCCCTTTCACATACACATAAATGTGCTTATTACATACACAAATACAACAGAAAAGAAACTTCACATATAAGAGTTCAATAAAACTTGATCTATACTTCAAATTCTCACCATGATTTGGAATGATTTCACTGTTTGAGATGTCAAAAAGAGCTTGTCAGATAAAACATAACCTTAAAGTCAAGAAAAGCAGATCCTATAACCTGATGGCCTTCTCTGCAAGTTGGACACTACAGAAAAGCGATGGGCCAAGGCCTGACTCGGAAGGCTCTTGGGTGCCTGACAGTTGTTTACAAAGAAAATGAGCTTAGGCTGGCTTGCTGTGGAGAATCATAACATGTCTTGGAAATTTGAGTGGGAAGAGTCATCTTATGCAGATTGTTAACCTGGCAAAAAGCAAAAATGAAAGATTTCCTCTTTCTTTTCAGGGTGAAAAATTCCCTCTGGGTAAAAACCATACAGAAGAAGAGGGGCACAAAGCCAAGACTTGCTGCACAAAAGCAGAGGGACTGTCTGATTTATTCATTGCTCTGATAAGAACAGTGCCTAACATTCAGTAGGGGCTCAAACCACATTCACTGAATGAATGAATGAATGAAAAAAAAAAAAATCTTTACTTTCCAGACACCTTTACAATAAGATTATATCCATGGGGAGAAAAGGCAAATGAGCAGTCTGGATTTACAGAAAACTCAAAATAAAGATTAAATAAGCACAATCTTATTATTTCTTAGGTTAAAAATATACTCAAGAAAAGCCAGGGCTTCCCTGGTGGCACAGGGGTTAAGTCTCAGTGCTATCAAACTATCGCCAGCCAGTGTGGCCTGAGTTCAATCCCCGGCCAGGGAGCTGACCCACATGGCGCAGATGTCTCTTGTCTTCGCCCGCTGCTCCCCTCAGCAGTATATTTCAGTAGATCCAGCTGTTCTGCTCCCTACTCTGTCTCTGATCAATCCTCTCACCCCCCACACCCCTGGCCTACACCCCAGTTCTTGTATGCATAAGTAAAAAAAAAAAAAATATCTTTTTAAAAAGGAAAAAGAAAATCCTGCAGACCCACAACAAAATTCCTGTAATTTTTCACTGGTGAGTGCTCAGTTTTCAATCAGGTTACCCTCCAGCAACTCATTTTGCTTTAGCATCTCTTCTGGCATTCTGGGCATGAGGCAGGGGCAAAATTTTGATGGTGAAGGCACCCTTGGTCAGGTCTCTTGCATGGGTGGCAGCATGCCCAGAGCCATTTTCATATACCACAGGACCATAAAAAACCCAAGAAATCATTTCACCAATAGCTTTTCCTTCAGGAAGCAATGCATTTGAATCATTCCAAACCACAGTCCATCTATTTTTACAAATTCTGACATGTACAAAAATTTGTCTCTAAATGTGAAGCTTGAGATAAATTAGTATACGTCCCCTTGTATGTCAGCTTCCTCATCCTAGAAGTGGACATAAAAAATGATAACTATCTTATATGACTGCTGTGAAGACTGTGAAAATACAGGGCACAGTACATGGCACAGTGCTTGGTAGACACTATGATTGACAGAGCTGTTACTATTACCTCAGGGGGTTATCATTTTTAGTCTTTGCAAATAAAAAAGTAAGAAAATCGTTGGGGTCTCAGTATTTCTTTCTTCAGTACTGGTCCAGACTCTTAAGTCTGATTAGATGCTTAGCCCCATGTCAATGCATGATCTGCTATTCTCAAAACTCCCTGATACAGCTAGATCCACTTCAACCTTTCCTTGAAAAGGTCCATGGGACATGTAAAGCTCCAATTGTACAGTCTATATGCAAAGAAACAACTCTCATGGAATGTGAGAGCTATCCCAGGCCGCCTCAGTATAAAAGGGTTTTAGAGGGACTCCCTGTTGGCTCAGGGGGTTAAAATGCAGCCTATGAAGCTATCCATAGCCACTGAAGCACAAGTTCAATCCCCAGCCAGGGAGCTACCCACATGGTGCAGCAGACCTCTCCTGACTTGCCCACTGCTCCCCTCAGCAGCGTATTTCAGTCAATCTGCCTATTCTGTTCCCCACTGACTCTGGTGACTCCTCTCACAACCCACACCTCTGGCCTGTACCCCAGTTCTTGTATGCATAAATAAAATATTTTTTTAAAAAAGGGCATTATGTTTAAAAAATTATAAATCCCCAAAGTAAACAAAATATTTGGAGCTAGCAAGCTGGAACCTGACTTGGCAGAGGGCAGAGACAGCAGGCAGTAAGTGCAGTATGGTAGAAAAAATTCCAGACTAGAATTAAGAAACTAAGTTTCAGGGCCTCCCCGGTGGTGCAGCAGTTGAGCGCTGGGCTGCGAAGCTGCCCACAGACTCTGCAGCGCCCGTTTGATCCCCGGCTGCGCTGCAGGGCGAGGGTCCCACATGGCGCGCAGACCTTTCCTGCCACACCCGCTGCTCCGCTCAGCAGTGTACTTTGTCAGTCTGCCTGTTCTGCTTCCCACTCTGGCTCTGGTGAATTCTTTCACCCTCCTGCGCTGCTGACTGTACCCAGTGCTAGTATAAATAAATAAATAAATCTTTAAAAAAAAAGAAAGAAACTAAGGTTCAAGTGCTAGTTTGCTACCTTTAGCTGGGTAAGCAAGTTATTTCACCACACCTGGGCTCAATTTCTTCTTCCTTTTTTTTTTTTTTAAGATTTATTTATTTATGTATACAGGAACTGGGGTACAGGCCAGAGGTGTGTGTGTGCGTAGGGGGGGGGGTGATAGGAAACCTATCACTTCCTAATCTAGGAAGTAAGCTGAATGCCTAGGAAAAGGCTAGTTCAGGAAAATTCTAAGGGACCAATAGTTTGGAGGACCATTTATCTTTGGACTCACAGCATTAGCTGGAAAAGCCTTCTTTCTTCAGGACTGAGAAAGCATCTGGTGACCTGAGGAAAAACTGTAGAACTCCAAAATCAAACTTAAAGCTAGACTGACTCTTCAGGTACACTTTGTAGCTACAAACTACTCACATCAGAAGTTAACAGCTCAGACTGAAGATGGCCAGGCTGCCTGGGTTCCCATCATGATTCTATAACTAACTAGTCTCAGGACCTCACACAAGTAACCCATTCTCATTGTGCCTCAGTGTCCTCATCTGTGAAATAGGCATAAAACCAGAACCTACCTCATAGGGATATTATAAGACTAGATGAATCAATGTATGGAAAGCCCTTTGAACAAGGTCTGGTATTTGCTAATTACTAAATAAGTATCTGGTTATTTACTTTTGCTTCAGGGTAGTGCAATAACTACATGACTTACTACAGAGTCATTTCACTTTCCAGAGTCAACTCAGAGGACTTAGGGGCAGGAATTCCTTCCCAAGGCTAAAACCTAGAAAATAAACTCTACTTCTGCTGCCTTTTGTTCCCTGGTGGAGTCAAGAGGAAAAACTACCAGTAGTCAAGAGGAAACCTTCCGCCACTGGTGGTGGTGCTGACAGCACAGCACCACTTCTCCTGCTGCCTCCATCACCCTCAAGGCGCCCTGCATCTGTGTCAGATGGTTCCAGAATGCTAGACAGGCCAGTCCTTATCAGGAAACAATATGCTCAGGGGTCTTCCTTTGGGGAGCTAAATCTGCCACACCACTCTTGGCAACATTTCCTTTAAAGTTACTGCTGGGGGCCTCCCCGGTGGCGCAGTGGTTGAGCGCTGGGTTGCGAAGCTGCCTGAGGCCTCTGTGGCGCCGGTTCGATCCCCGGCTGCTCCCTGGGCACCGAAGGAGGGTCCCACATGGCGTGCAGACCTCTCCTGCCGCCCGCTGCTCCCCTCAGCAGTGTACTTTGGTCCTTCTGCCTGTTCTTCTCCCCGCTCTGGCTCTGGTGAATTCTCTCACCCTCCCGCGCTTCTGACTGTACCCAGTGCATGTATAAACAAAACAAACAAACAAATAAATAAATAAAAAACATGCCTCTATAAACAAAAAAAAAGAAAAAAAATAAAAAAATAAAATAAAAAAAATAAAGTTACTGCTGGGCCTCCCTGGTGGAGGCCCAGGGGTTAAGACACAACCTATGAAGCTCTCCACAGCCATTGCAGCATGAGTTCAATCCCCGGCCAGGGAGCAACCCACATGGTGCAGCAGACCTCTCCTGACTCGCCTGCTGCTCCCCTCAGCAGTGTTATTTCAGTCAATCTGCCTAGTCTGTTCCCCACTCTGTCTCCGGTGAGTCCTCTCACCACCCCCCCCACACCTCTGGCCTGTACCCCAGCTCTTGTATACATAAATAAATCTTTAAAAATAAATAAATAAAGTTACTGCTAAGGAATCCCAATTTAAAGGTCATTGTTTTTTGGCATCAAAACATTAGGGATGATGTGTATTTTATAGTTTTCTCACCCTCATATTCCCAGTGGTTCCCACTTTTTGCATCTAATTATCCCTAATGTTTTTCTTTTCAACCCTGATATCATTATGCACTCTTAAATTTCCTTTCAAAGGGATGCAAAATACTCTTATTTTTATATTGCCACAACTTCCCAGAATCATCTCATGTTGGGAAACATGAATATCCACACTTACAAGTAAAAGCAGCACTTTAACAGAAGCAACATTAAAGAGCTAAAACCACACCTTTCCAAAGCTCTCTCTTTACAACTGAGCTCCAAGGGCTTATTTTATTTCCATCTGCAAGGCAAATTATTAATTTGGAGTGGACCAAAAAATCTGGCTTGTTGACAACACACATTTCCTGAAACTTTAAAACTCCCAGTGAGTAATTACTGCCCGTTGACTATCATTTCTTAATTCTCAATAGTCTCTGGAGATTTTCTTTACAGGATGGAAAGAAACCATCAACTGGGTGCTAAGAACTGCTGACTTCACCTCACGTGCTAAGAATAGAAGATGCCCTTCGGGAGGCAGTGAGGTGATGCCAGGAAAGAAGACTACGTGTCTGAGGAAGCAGCACAGGCTGGACTGACAAGTTCCTCTGGCTCTTTCCCCATGAGCTCTGGACCTTCCTGATAGGAGTTAGAAACTTCTTTTTCTTTTTTTTGAGCTTAGTTTGATGACATTTCAAAAACAATCTTACCAATAAATAAAAGGAAGTGATATCTGGAATTCAAAAACATTAAATATATAAGCTGAGTAACAACAACAAAAAAACCCTCATGGGACTGAGTTTTTGTTTTACAATGTTCCCTTCCTTTGATTTTGATATCATTTTGGAAACTTTTCCACAATTTCCTTAAGTATACAAAAATAGCTTTCAAAGGAGACCCAATCCAAGTGATGATTTTTATGACTGATTAGGTCTTGGCTTAAAGAAGGACATTGTAATTCCTTTTTTTTTTTCTTTTGACATTGTGATTCTAAAGCTTAGCTTCAACTACTAATTTTTCTTCTAAAAGCAACACTGAAGACAAAACATTTCCTAAACAGTTATGTTGGGTCCTAAAGTTTTCAGAACTTGGTTCCACCAAAGTTGTGTAATCCAATTCCTATTCCTTCATATGGGCAAATACAAATAAAAAAGATAACAACCTTCTGTTCTTTCCCAAAAAGTAAATTTCTAGTCTTACCACATGTTACACTGTTCTCAAAAGGAACTTCTTAAACTGGTCTGTCAGACTAGGAATTCCTGTGGTACCACTGATGCATAGTCACTAAATTTTAATGTTTCTTAAATTCAACTAATTGGCAACATTGTACCCTGAGGAGCACTAAATAAGGAAACTGAGACTGAAAGAATGAGATATTGAAAGAATGGGACAGATGGAGAGAAACCCTAGCCCAAAAAGCTAAGTAAGGACAGTTAGGAGGATCTGGTTAAAAGTAAGCAGGACTCAGATGCTTTCGATAAATCAATAGTTGTTTATTTAAATATCTACTATAAATAGGGATCACAAGAAAGAAAATAGAATCAGATATGCTCAAAGCCTTCCTGTGAGAGAAAACAGTTATCCCTATCAGGTATGCTTTAGAGTCAGGGAGAGTCTGAAATTGGTTCCATCATATGTGTTTCTAAATCTCTCTGAAACTCAGTTTCTCAAAATGCAACATGGGGATTGTAGGGTAAGGAAAAATGTCAGGCTTTTCTGCCCTCCTGCCATCAGGATAGATGATGGATCCTTGTGGTCCTGAATGCATGCCTGATGGCGGGCACCTGGAGTAGGGTGTGGGCATAGGTAGATGGGATTCACCTGGGCTAAGACTGGGCTTTGAAGGGCGGCGTCACGGGGATGCCAGCAGAAGCCAAGAGAGAAGCAGAGAACGCCAGAGAGTCCAGATAGAGTGAAGACTTGCTGGAGGCTGGGAGGCCTGACAGCCTCCCGGCCCCCTAAGCACCCTTGCCTGCTGTGTACCTGGTAATCCCAATAAAAACCTGCAAAACCACTGAGGACTCTGATTCCTCCTTTACCCCGTCTGCATGGGATTATAGAAAACCTGCTCAGTGGTCATTCCTGACCCTACAGGGATAAAAGTTTTAGTGAGGAGTGAATTAAATGAGATTATACAGGGAGGGTATCTCCTTCCATCACTAACATTAGATGTCAATAAATGTTCAAACAAACAAAAAAACCCCTGTATCTCAAAAGTAATAAACACAGCAATCTACCTGGAAAGGGTCTGTCTTCATCACCCCCATGCAGAGCAATGCCATTATTTTCTGGCATATACTTCTTGGTAATGGGCAAGGACATTAGCCGGATGTGATGGATGAGTGAGCGCCAGGTGTGAGCTCCAGAAAGCCCTGGTTCTGGTGGTAATGGGCTGAAAGGTTGAATTACAAAGTAGGCAGTGAGCAAGATTAACCCCAGCGTTACCAGGACCTATAAGGAGAGACAGAAAAAGGATTAATAATTGTCCCAGCAAACAAAATACCTTCATGCCAAGAACAAAAAGACCTCTTCTACTATTTCCAATGTGCCTTAAGAGCCAAGCCAGGGGCCTCCCTAGGGATGCAGGGGTTAAAGACTCAGCACTATCAAGCTATCACCAGCCACAATGGGCATGAGTTCAATCCCTGCCAGGGAGCTACCCACAAAGCACAGCAGACCTCTCCTGTCTCGCCTGCTGCTTCCCTCAGTGGTTTATTTCAGTAGATCCGTCTGTTCTGCTCCCCACTCTGTTTCTGGTGAATCTACTCACCACCCCCTCCCCCCAACACATACACACCTCTGGCCTATACCCTAGTTCTATGCATAAATAAATAAAAACAAATCTTTAAAAAAAAATCCATTTTCATCAACAAGCCATTAACATGCATTTCTGAGAGCATTTAAAGTTGGAAAACTATGAGAACAAGGCTCCCCAAGCTTCTATCATAAGACAGGGGCTGTGACTATCACTAAAAATACACAGAGAGTTTAATTATAAACACACAGCTTTTGTCTAGGACAATTAACAAAATAGTCAAATTTCCTAGAAACACATGGTAAGAGCTATGGCTAATTTATTCACCAAAAATTCAAGGTTTGATGATGGAATCAGCCAACAGTCATATGTGGGGAGAATGTGGAAGAGACTGTGCTCTTACCTATTCCCAAGTCAGAACACATTTTTACCTTGTATATGGCTATAAGGAGAGGATACTGAGGCGGCCCCCTCTGAGGTTCATTCTTTTCCAGGAGCTGTCTGATAAATTTTTCAATTGCTTTCTCTGACATGCCACACTGATGGCCTGTCTGTCTCACTAAATCAACAGTCTCTGAAAGTTTGTCATAAATGCTGAGCTCATTGGCAGCAAGATCCATGTCTTCCAATACAAAATCCCTGAGAGAGAGAAAAAAAATGTAAAAAAGAAAGGTTTCTTTAAAGTACTTCCTCTCAAGGCTGATGGTTAGAACAGGGCTTCTTGACCATCTGTGGGGAAGGGCCAGTTTTGTGTTTCTCAGTCTAGTGCAGACTAATACTTTGGTAAAACAATGAGCATGCTGAGAAAATGTCAATTGTTATACAATTTTTTTCAGTGTTACTGAATTGTGGGCTAGTGAACAGTTTATAGAACAGCCCTGGTTCTTAAACACTTTGAGAAGCACAGGTGTAGGACACAATAAGTCCCTAGTGGGACTCAGAAAAACAACCTCTAAAGGTACCCTCCAAAATGCCTTCTGAGGGGCCTCCCTGGTGACGCAGGGATTAAAGATAGCACTGTCAAGCTATCACCAGCCACTGCAAGCATGAGTTTGATCTCCAGCCAGCCAGGAGCAACCCACATGGCGCAGCAGACCTCTCCTGTCTCGCCCACTGCTCCCCTCAGCAGTGTATTTCAGACAATCCACCTGTTCTGCTCCCCACTCTCTCTGGTGCATCTCCTGCACCTCTGGCTTACACCCCAGTTCTTGCATACATAAATAAATAAATCTTTAAACAAACAAAAAACCCAAAATGCCTTCTAAAACCAATCACAGGCCATCTACTACTGGTAATTTACTAAAAATGAAAAAAGAAATGGGGGCCTCCCTGGTGGCGCAGGGTTTTGTTAAAGACAGCACTATCAAGCTACCACCAGCCACTGCAGCACGAGTTCAATCCCTGGCCAGGGAGTTGACCCACAAGGCGCAGCAGACCTCTTCTGTCTCACCCGCTGCTCCCCTCAGCAATGTATTTCAGTAGATCCACCTGTTCTGCTCCCCACTCTCTCTGGTGAATCCTCTTGGCCTCCTCACCCCACTCATCTCTGGCTTGTATCCCAGCTCTGGCTCCACCAGAGACAGAGTGGGGAACAGAACAGGCAGACTGACTGAAATACACTGCTGGGGGGAGCAGCGGGAGAGACAGGAGAGGTCTGCCTTGCCATTTGGGTTTCCTCCTGGCCCACCGGGGATTGATTTTTTGCTGCAGAGGCTGTGGATTGCTTCATAGTGCGGTGCTTAATCCCCTGCACCACCAGGGAGGCCCTAAAGAAAAAAAATCTTAAAAAAAAAGAAAAGAAAAGAAAAGAAAAGAAAAAAGAAAAAGCGGAGATTGTTATTGATTCTTTCCATTTACAACAGTGACATGCAATTGCTGTAGACAAAGCTTTACTGTGAGGGACACGGTGACAGCTCTGTTCCTGGCAGAGCAAGGATTTCAGGTGACACACAAATCATGACACAGGAGTTCCTCAGACCTAGTAGATGGCAGGCCTCGGGTTTTTCTGAAAATACAATTTTAGACAATAATGGGCACTTTATTTGTATTTTATATAATTAAAAGATCTAAGATCTAAGATCTATAGGTAATCTCAAAATCCAATTTGTGTTCTCAGTTATTTTAAAGCCAGAGTGCTTCACAGTGACCAGAGAATAAATGGTAAAAACCAAAGCAGCAAAGTAGAAATCTCTGTTTATAAATTGAAACCAAGTAGTTCTTTCCAAAACCATATGTGTTATGAAACAGTAATACTTTTCATTGTTTACATGAGGAAAAATGGTGCTTGGGATTTATGCTATTTTTTTAAGGGGGGGTTTCCTCATTTTTATAAGTCCCCTTTTTTCACAAACTTCATTCCTAACATGCTTCTAACCTCAAAAAGCAGTGATATGGCACAACTCTATTTTTTCCAGAAGGAGATGCTGCCACTGGTAGAGCAGAGGACAACAGTCAAGTATCTGCAGTGGAGAGAAAAGGGGGCCCGAAGTGCCACAAACCAGCACACACCTCTGCATGTATCTCCTCCTGCATCATCACCTCCTGGTAACTCTGGTCCCCTTTACGATAAGTAACCTGTTAGCTTACTACTTCTTAACCCTGCCTGCCCATTAGAATCGCCTAAATTGCTTTTAATGAATTCTCTACCAAGACCCCCAACCAAGCCAATTAAATCAGGAGCCCCGAAGGGATTAACAGGCAAATAATCTAGACTTTGAAGAATGAACCCCCCCCCACACACACACACAGACTAAAGGGGGCATATCCTTGTCCCAAACTCTCTGCTCTTGCTCAAAATCTTGGTTTTTTAGGCCACATAGGCCTTCATTTCAAAGGTCAGATGAAAAGGCAGTGTAAATTCTATTTTAAAATGTGTATTTCCAGGCCTCCCTGGTGGAGCAAGGGGTTAAGACACAACCTATGAAGCTGTCCGCAGCCTCTGCAGCCTCTGCAGCCTGAGTTAGATCCCCTGGCCAGCCAGGGAGCTACCCAAATGGCGAAGCAGACCTCTCCTGACTCGCCCGCTGCTCCCCTCAGCAGTGTACTTCAGTCAGTCTGCCTGTTCTGTTCCTTACTCTATCTCTGGTGAATCCTCTCACTCCCTGCACCTCTGGCCTGTACTCCAGCGCTTGTATGCATAAATAAATAAATCTTAAAAAAAAAAAAAAATGTGGTGCCTCCCTGGTGGCTCAGGCAGTTGAGCGCTGCACTGTGTAGCTTTCCACAGCCTCTGCAGCGAAGGTTCGATCAAGACTGGGGAGAAACCCACAAGGTGCAGCAGACCTCTCCTGTCTCGCCCACTGCTCCCCTCAGCAGTGTATTTTGTCAGTCTGCCTGTTCTGCTCCACACTGTTTCTGATGAATCCTCTCACCTTCCCGCACATCTGGCCTGTACCCTGGCTCTTGTATAAATAAATAAATCTTAAACAAACAAATAAATAAATAAATGTGTATTTCCAACAAATGGCATTGGGACAATTGGATACTCACATGTAAAAGAATGCAGTCAGATCCTTTCTTATACATACATGAAAATTAACTAAAATTGGATCAAAGACCTAAATTTAAAAACTATAACTATAAAATGCTTAGAAGAAAACAGGGGAAAATCCATGACACCAAATTAGACAATGGCTTCTTAGCTATGGCACCAAAAGCAAGAGCAGAAAAAGAAAAAATAAACTAAAATACCTCAAAAATTAGCAATTTTTGTGCCTCGAGTGATAAACCACAGAATGGGGAGATATTTATAAATCATATATCAAATAAAGAAATGATAGTCCAAGTACATAAAGAATTCTTACAATAATAAAAAGACAACCTAATTAAGAAATGGGCAAAGGCTCTGAATAGATTTCTCCAAAGAAGACATGCAAATAGCCAATATACTCATGAAAGATGTTCCACATCATCAGCCATCAAAGAAAGGCAAATCAAAACTATAATGATGTACTACATCACACCCACTGGAATGGCTATAATCAAAAAGCCAGATAGTAACAAGTGTAGACAAGGATGCTGAGCAAGGATGCTTGTACTGTTGGTGGGAATATAAAAATGGCATAGCTGCTTCAGAGAAGCCTGACAATTTCTTAAGAACTTAAACACAGAGCTATCAAATGACCCAGAAATTCCACTCAGAAGTATGTACTCCAGAGAATTAAAACATGTCCACATAAAAACCTGTACAAAATGTTCAAGCAGCATTATTCATAAAAGCCTCCCCCACCTCCCAATGGAAGCAATCAAAATACTGAATGGATAACAAAATGTGGCCTATCCACACTATGGAACATTAATCAACAGTTAGGAGGAATGATGTAGTGACACATGCTACAAAATAAATGAATCTTGAAAACAGGCTATATAAAAGAAGATAGTCTCAAAAGATCACATATTATATGAATACATTTATATTAAAAGTCAAGAAAAGCAAATTTATAGAGAGAGTAGATTAGTTAGTGGTTGTTAAGGGAAGTGGGTAGGAATAAAGAGACTATTAATAGATACATAATTTCTAAACTATTTTCAACTTAAATTGTGGTGATGGTTGCATAACTGTGTACTAAAAACCACTGGGTTGTACATTTAAATTGTGAACTGATGGCATATAAATTATTTCTCAATAAGGATTTTTTTGAATGTATATTTATTAAATTTGAGTTTACCCCCCATTTATTACACTATATTGTTAGGATTTTGGATAATTGACTTGGTCTATGACCTCACCCCAAAAATAAAACAAAGCAGAAGGTTTTGAAAGTCCTCTCTAGCTCAAAAATTCTAAGAGTATATGAGCATTTCAGGAAGTGGAAAAAATTCAATTCATCAAAAACTAATGACATATTAGACAACTGCATCACCATATTACTACTTCCTGTTATGTCATCCTATGTGCTGGTGGGCACTGTGCTAAGAAACATCATCTCAGTGAATTATCACAGCAATCCCAGAAGGGAAGTGTGATCAATACCATTTCACAGATGTTTAAAACATCTAAGCTCAGAAAGGTTTCACAATTAGAAAGTTGGGACTACAATGATTCCTGGAAAAAGAATAAAGTAATAACTTATTACAATATTTTTCACTTGGTTTGGTAACTGGTGGCTATCCCAGAGATAGCATTTTCCTGCTTAACAAAAATCTTCTAAGTAAGCAGGAATAATGTGATACATACGAAAATAATAATTCCAAGTCAAAACCTATTAAAACTCAGCAGAGGGCCAGGGAAAAAGGGCAACAGGAATACTGGAAAAAAATCCAGCAAGAAATGTTAATGGGGGGGCCTCCCTGGTAGCTCAAGGGGTTAAGACACAACCCATGAAACACTCCACAGCCACTGCAGCACGAGTTCAATCCCCGGCCAGGGAGTAATCCACATGGCGCAGCAGACCTCTCCTGACTTGCCCGCTGCTCCCCTCAGCAGTGTCTTTGGTCCGTCTGCCTGTTCTGCTACCCACTCTGTCTCTGGTGAATCCTCTCACCAACGCCCCACATCTCTGGCCTGCATCCCAGCTCTTGTAAGCATAAATAAATAAATCTAAAAAAAAAAGTTAATGGTCTAAGAGGTGGGGTACACACAGGTGTTCCTCAGGCAGAAGGGAAGGTCATATTGGTGCCCTCCTTGGAAGAGCCAAAAA